GGGGGAGGACTCAGTCCCGGGCTCGAGTGAGCACCATAGGGTCCTCAAAGGGACGGGGTGTCAACGGTGTAACTTGAACCATTTTTTAAGTAGAATGTGTATCAAATAATATCTAAAATAAATTTGTGACTTTGTCTATGTTTTGTTTTTCCCTTCCAACTTTTCACGTGTTCTTTCCCATTATCTTTCCTTAGTAGTTCCCGCGATCGAAATGGATCTTAAGTTTCATGTTACACTTTCCATGCAGGCTGTTGCTGTGAATAACTTGGGAAAGTGGAAGACTGCCACACAGATGACTGCATTAACCATCCTCCTTGCCACAAGAGATAGCAGGCGAGTTCGCTTGATCTGGACATATAGCTAGCTCTCTAAGTTAACACACAAACACCCACAAACCCCGTATAATCCCAAGTCCATCAGGGCCTGGGAGGCCAAGATTGCACAGCCCTGCCTATGTAAAAAAACAAAGACATTGTTTTCATTAGACCCATGATGCATCACTGCTTTTGCTACCCATATTTTGAAAGAAAGTAAGAAACAAAGGAATTTTCACGCAGGAAGTTTGATTTGTTCTATAATTTTATTTACCCAAAGCAAAAACATTCCCATGATTGACTCTTTTAGCTCCATTGGGTAACGTACACCTGTGCTCTGAATTACTCACTCTAAATAAACAAATAAATACTCCTAGCATATAATTGGCCATTAAACAAGCTACTGTTTTGTCAATGCAGCCTAGTTGAAGCAGGAAGCCTTGCAAGCTCTGGTGTGGTTTTGCTCTATATCTCAGCATGGCTTGCCGTTTGGTCTCTAGTCGTGTACATGAAAAAGATTTGGAAAGTGTTGTTGCTATAGCAGAGAGTCTCAAGCCCGCGTATATGCTTCAATTCAAACTGCCATATCTCACTGCAGTTGTATTGCCTCTGCCTGCACACAGGGACTCTCTCTTCTTCTGTCCCTCGTCTAAATCATCGACAACTCACTTTCAACAGGGTGGGAGATATCCTTTGCTTGTACTGTGCAGGTACTTGGGAAGCTAAATATTATCTCTGCCTCCACACACCCACACACACAGTTCATAATCCTTAAACCCATTTAATTTAATTTAATTTTTTACACCGATTTAGAAAGTGTTTTGTACGTGTTAATTATGACTTTTTTTTTGTATTTTTGGCAAGTTATGTTACTCATGTAACTCTGTACCCGACATTGAAAGTTGACATCTCATTCATCTTTGTGAATTAGCAAATGTTGTCACATTTCCCGGCGGACTTATTTTCTACTTAAAAATATCATTTGATGAGAATATAATAAATAAAACTATAAATATAATTTAATAATTTGAAAACGAAAGTTTCAGATTGTTTAAAATTATTTAGAAAAATACCATGTAAATAAAATCTTTAATAAAGGTTACATCTGTATTAAAATAAAACTCTTGCTTTGTTTATGATATTTTACTAAAGTTATTTAAAAATAGGAAAACAAATAGATAATGTTTATTAAATATTTTATTTATATGATAGCCTTCTAAATCATTGTATATAATTCAAAACGTTTGCTTTCAAATTTATAAACCTGCATTTGAAGTTTTATTTATTATATCCTCATCCTATATAATTTATAATTATTTTTCTATATTCAATAATTTTTTATTTTGAGAATGGACCAAATTGAGAAAACACCCAATTAGACAAAGAAATGAACATAAGCTATAACATCAATTTGATGTCAAACGATCGTTAGTTGAAAGAACTAAAATGAGCATTATTCTCAAATAAAATGCACTATCTCGATAATTAATTTGTCTTGGAGATTAATTTAGAAAAATTGAATACAATTTTAAGAATGCACCCTTTTAGAATTCAAGAAAAACTCACTCAATTTTGTAAAAGTTTGAGAATAAATAGTGAAAAAATGTCTTTTAGGAGGGTAGAATTGTGAATAATGAATTAACCTAAAGAGTATTTAAAAATGAGGTAGCTTAATTTAACACAAAGACTGCTCAGAGACACAAGTACACTATGCATAGAGTGAAAGCTTACTTGTGTGTTCTCTCTACAGTCAGGCTCATGTTAGAACATCTCCAACCATTGAGTTTTGGTTTGTTAAATGTTATTATTTGGCAATTCATTTCAATTTTTGTGCTCCAAGGGGCTTGCTATAGTATAGCATACTTGGTAAATGTTAACTTTGACTTGTTATATATAACAAGCCTCTCAAAAAATAGCAAATCATGAAATTGATTAAATATATGATTTCTCTCTTCTTTTCTCTCATTCTCCTTCTCAAAATATAAAGTTACTTCTACTCTCTAATTTTTTGTTTTTGTAAATTTTTTTTCTCTACTGTTTAATTGGTATTTATTAAATATTTAAAATAATACTCCGTATATTTTATTATTTTCCCTAAAGTACGTAAAATAATACTCCGTATTGTTTTTTGAAATTATTATTTTTAAATTACATACTTATTACTAAATTTTTATAATATAAAATAATAATTGAATAATTATTATAAAGAGTGTATTATAATAGTAAAAACAATATAATATAATTGTTAGCTAAATTATAGCAAGGAAAGGTTGGAGATGACAATGCAAAATGGCTTGCTATAC